AGTAACTCACTAATCATAGAAATATGAATACGTAATATTAAGGGAACAATGATAGTCATAACATATAATCATAAATAGTAAATACAAATATAAGTAAAGAAAAATGAAAGTCACTAAATAGACTTTTGTAATTATTGGAATAATTGTTGGAGACTCAAATGGTAGATATGCAAGCATGATAACTTATATGTTGTTCTATATCTCCATGAATCTAGAAATTTTTGCTTGCATTGTATCATTTGATCTATGTACCGGAACTGATAACATTCGAGATTATGCAATAAGATTAGGTAAGTAAAAAATTTAAAAAATTTAATTATTTTTTAAAACATTTTGTTTGGAAAAATTAATTTAATTTTTTTAAATTTCAGTCTAGAAAGGATAATTTGATTTCTACAATAGGCAAAATTTATTTTTTATATATATGTATATATAATAAAATTTTAAGATTAAATTTTATAAAATTAAATATTAGTTAATAGATCAATATTTAATAAATTAGTATTAAATAATACTTAATTTTTTAAAAATAATTTTTGAATATTCATTAAATAAAAAATATTAATATTTTTTATGTTGAATTTGAAAGAGAGGAAATAGAGGTAGGAGTAAAAATATTTAATAGCTTATGTATTTTTATATAACTAATTATCACCATTAATTTAATTTAATATATTTAAGGGTAAGTATTTAAAAATAATGTGAATAGTTTTTACTTGATTAATTTTAAATGATTTTATGCTTTTTGTTATCATACGATAATCTTTCTAGGCGTCTAGGAGATAATTTTATGGTTGCATGTTTGATAATTAAAATAAATATGACAATTTTTGGCTTTTAACTTTTTTTAATGGATTTAATCGAGACATCGTTAATTATTATGGTTAGTCTAATAATAAAGAAATTGAATTTATATGTATATAACTATAAATTCGAATTTTGATGTCGTAATTGTAATTTTGATAAATTAAAAAAAGTTAAATATTTTTAAAGATTAATCTCATAATTAATGAGATCCACTTTTACCATTTTTACATCCACTTGTACTATTATTAACCACAACAATTTTATCATTATTATTCTTACTTTAATCATTTATTAAATATTGTTTATCTCTATTATTCTCGTTATTTCATTATTCTTATTGTTAGTATCATCCTTTTTTTCTCATGATTACCATTTTCACAATTAGTATTAACGTTGTCTTCATCATCATCTGTGATGACTTAGAATTTTTTTACCCAAATCTAATGTGTCCTTATCCTATACAATCAAATAAAAATAGAATTTAAACTAAAACAACACTTATATTCTAATCCTTCACACAATAAATATATAAAATTTATGGCTTTAAACTAATTTTAATCATGATATAATTAAATTACAATTTTAATTATGTGTTAAGTGAATATTTATAGTTTATTATTTTTTATGAGATCATTGTTTATTAATTTGAAAATCATGCACCCTTTTCCCACATTGAGCTAGGATTGATCAAATACAACAATTTATCCGGATCCACATCTACCCCATGAAACTAATCTGTAATCTGCAGATATATAAACACGCATTTAACTCGCAGACTTATGATCGATTTGCCACCAAATATTCTGAACATTATTCTTCTTCTTCTTCTTCTTCTCTCTCTCTCGGTGTCGTTTATTAATGGCTAACTTTTTCATTTTTTATTTTTTTTTGAAGTATACTTGGTCAACACTCTTTTCTCAAGTCCATGTGAACAATGACAATCCATCTCCAACAAGATTTGAAAGTTGAATTTCTGACGGTGATGAATGAATTATGAAACCAACGTAACAATAACAAAATAGTCTAATTAGCTTAATTATGCGAACAAGAATTGGGTTTAAGTAAAACAACTTAAAAGAAAACTTTAAATACTAACAAGATTAAGCACAGTTAATTAATAGATGGTTAAGTTCTTTAAACATGTTCACATGTACGGTATCGGTAAATCTTTCAGAAGGAATTTAATAATATCCAACTATGCATAATAATTAATCTAGTATCACTAGATAAAATATACTTATAATTGTTAATTTCTATATAATTTAAGTAAATTTATGAATTTAATTTTTATATCATTTTCTCTAGGGACAATATTATGTTCCTTATGATCTGAGAAACTTATAATAGCTAGCAATATCATATCTTATGAGTGTGTGGAGATGTATGGTCTAGAATCTAGATGTTCCCATTGAACGTTAACTTTGTCAAAGGACATTTTAAGGCAGAGACAAGAGTAGGTGTTGTTCGTCACGAATAGGATTGTGTGCATGTGTATTCACAGTTCATTACTCCATAATTTAAATTAGTCATATCGTATCTTACCTAAACCACAAAAGCTGTCATTTGATTTTATCATTATTTTCTTTTCCCCATCACAGACGAATAAAAGTTTAAAAGATGTTAAGTGGATATTTACAATAAATTATATAAAACTATATAAGATTTTAGCTTTTTATTTATTTATTTTATTTTTTATAATAATTTAATCATACTCACAAAATATATTTTTAATTTTTCTTTATATAAATTAAAATAGTTATATTAAATGAGAGTGTTTCCAGAGATTATATATATTAAAATGAAAATAATTAGTTTTTCTTTTCTAAGAGTGATTTTAGAAAATTCTCCTAACCTTTTGTCTCTTCTGTAATTTCATTATAACACTTTTATTTTTATTTTTGAATTTTATTTCAATATATTGTTTTTAAAAATCAGTAGTTAAAAAATGACATTATAATATAAATTACTTATTATAAATTTAAAATTTAATTTATAAAAACAGAAATATTTATTTATCACAAAATTATTTATAATAATTTATATACTTAAAAGTATTTATTTATTATAAATTTAGTTTTATAAAACAATCAATCATCATTGGTGTAATGCACAAGTTAAAATTCCAATATTTACAAAATTAACATAATTTTAAGAAAGTAAATTAAAAGTTTAATTTAATATTAAAAAATTGATTTATAAGATGATAATGATTTTCTACTTACATATACTGTTATGATTATCTCATTAGTCAATGTTAGATCTCCAACATAAAAATATTATCGTTGAGTGTTACTTATCATTCCTAAATGTGTTATAAATACTTTGATTTAAATAATTTTTATTTAAAAGGTTGTTACTTTTACTAATCAAATTGATAAATTTAAGAGATCTTATATTAAAATTCATTTTTATTAAAAAAAGATAATAAATATGTGAGAGTAAATATACGTTGTAGTAGGACCCTAAGCAGAATCAAAAAGAAGATTATCAGTTTGACTAATCAGAATAAAAAAAAATGCGTACCAGTAGGAACGTAATAAATATGAATTTAAGGAGTCTATTATATTCAAGTGTTGTCTATTTTTATTTAATATGAAATAATTCAAGTTTTGTCTTGTTAGTTAGATACTAGTATTGTTCTCTTGTCACGAGTGAAGTGCTGCTGCCAGCCCTTTGGTATTTGCCTCTTCCCCTTTATTAATTATTCACACTTCAATTCATAAGGAACTAGTTTTTTCTTTTTTTCTTTTTTGGTAGGAAAAGAACATTGCCCACTAATGGCCAGCACATTTTTTGTCGTGAGAAAGAAATTTTAAAATAAAGTTTTGACTTTTTATTAAGGTGAATTCTAGAGATTATGAATAATTAATAATATGATTAGATGAAAATGTAAAAGCTCTTTCTATTGTTATTTATATGAGTTAATCATCTATACACTGTCAGTATGACAACTAATAATATCTTTTAAAGTTGTTTATTTTATTATTATTTCATTAAATAAGTAACTAACATGACACTATTAAAAGATATGATTGGTTGTTAGTGTAAAAAAAATTTATATTAGCAGTGTATATGTGATTAACTCAAATACACTAGCAACTAATCATATTTTTTAATAGTGTAATGTCAGTTGCTTAGTTAATGAAATAATAATAAAATAAGCAATTTTAAAAGATATTATTAGTTGTCGGTGGATGATTAACTCTATTTATATTATTCATTAATTCTACAAAATATTGAAACGTGTATAATCTCTTACACTTGTGTCACTAGCTAGCGGTCTTCGCAATTCGCATGCTATGACGATAATGAATATAAAACCAGACCATAGTGTGACAACATGGACTTAAATAAGACATTTACCAAAGAAAAAAGGAAAAGTATGTATAAGAAATGATAATTGGAGTGACACATGCTTTTTTTGGCCCAATGTGAGATCAAAAGTACTTGGTAATCTGATAGAACGTAATAACTAGAATTAGAAAGAATGTTTTTCGCTTTGTGGAGGCTTTTCGTTTCATTTTGGTCACGAGAAGGCTCAAGGTATGAGTGGAAATTACGTAAGAAACGCTTTAAGAAATTTGTTGGGTAACATGAAATTTCAATAAAGGAAACGTAAATCATGCCTTATTCTAATGCGAGTAATAACAAGAGATAAAAAAATCTGACATAGTACATATGCTTTATGTGACGTCAAGCAGTTAAAGTTAGGCAGTTAACAGAGCGAAGAAAACACAAGAAACTTGATTTTTTTTAAATTAAAAAATAGTAAAAATTTAAGCATCGAATAATATGCGTTCATGAAACAAAGAGTAATTAATGAGATAATTATGAGGTAATGAAGGTTGGGACAAAGAATAAGTCAAATGTCAACATCAGCGCCAACCCAATTATTGAATTTATTTATTTTGATTTTTTAGTAAGTGTTACGTTGGTCTTATGAAATAGTAGTAAAACAATGACAAATGGGAAAACAATAGTGGAAAGACGAGTATTAATTAATTAATAAAACAACGAAACGCGTCACTGATTAAGCACAATGAAAAAACAAAAGATTTTGGCAGTCTCTAGAATCACGATACAAATACCCGTGAAGCCTATATTCGCTCATATTAGAATCCGTGAACCAGATTTTGTTAATTAGTTAAATAGCCTAGACATTCATTTGGCTCGTACATTGCAGTAGTGAAATCATGGGGAACTGCATGGAGACATACACTAAAGGGCATGCAGAGGAGAGGCAGAAAAATGAAGAAGAAGAAGAAAGAGGAAGAAGATGGAGAGGGTTTGTGGAGAAAAATGATGATAAAGGTGTGAGCATGAAAGTTGTGCTGACAAAGGAGGAACTCAAATGGCTTATACTTCAACTGAATGAGAAAGGGGGGATGAGAGTGGAGGAAATGGTGGCAGAGATAGAAAGAGGCAGAGAAAAGGTTAAGGGATATTCATGGAAGCCTTCTTTGGAGAGGATCTTGGAGGCTCCTGAAATGCTTCAGATGGAGGACATCACAACATGATCCTCATCCTCATTATCTTAGCCACACCACAACTTCTTCTCTTTCCTTTATGTTCTATAGTTTTGGAATGAGTAGATAGTGAGATCCACATTTGTAAATCTCAAGGGAAAGATCG